CACATTTGTGCATCCTTCCAGCTTTCTCATGTCCTCGCTTCCCCTGACGCCTCCATCTTCTCCCCACTCATCAGGCTTCTCCTGCCCTCTCTTCCTCCACTCTCCTACTCGGACCTAGTGGCTCATTGCATCTCACCAGATCCCCAAGCTCCCCTCAACACTCCACCAAAAACATCTCAGCTTGCAAGCACGGCAGCCCCCACTGCCTTTGCCTGAGCTGTATCTTTGGGACTGAGCACCTGGGGAAATCCTCTACGGGCTGGGCCACCACAAGTTCCTGGCCCCAATCTCTGCTGGGCACTGAGTGCTGTTGCCCACCTCATCTGTACCTGTTCTCGGAGATCTCCCTCTTCTATGTCCCTCCATAGGTGACCACTCCAAGTGTTCTAACACTCTCCTATTTAACCTTTATTCTCTCATACTCAGCAGATAAACTTGTCTCCCACTTCAAGGACATCAGGATTACTCTCCTTCTACCTCCCACCCCCTTCTTACAAACAGCTCCTCGTCCACATCCACTCTCACCTTCTGTCTCAGAGGTGTGTCCCTCTTTCTATGTCCTTGACTGTCTTCATGCCCATGGACAGACTTTGGAAGTTATCCCATTTCACTTTTATAAAATTTCTTCCATCTCCCACTTACCCTGTAAATAAAAGGGGAAGCAGTGGAGTGGCAACATCCCCACCCCTTTGGGGAGGCACGATGCATTCAGCAAGGTAGGAAAGATGGAGAAGAGGTGGTTTATTGGGGAAATGGCCCCCAGTTCTTGTTATGGAAAAATGGCACAGTAAGCTCCTTGACTTACTGATGGGGATTCACCCCGATAAACCTGTCTTAAGTTGAAAATATAAATCTGAAATGCATTTACTATTACACTGCAGAGTATCGGTTGTTTACCCTCGTGATGACCACTGCCCAAAATCATGAGGGAGTTTCGTTCTGTGTATCACTAGCTTGCGAAAAGATCAAAATTCAAAGTATGGTTTCTACCGAATGGGCACTGCTTTTGCACCACCATAAAGTCAGAAGATCCTAAGTCGAACCATATAAATTAGGGACCATTTGTATACTCAAGCTTCATGCCCCAGGTCTTCCTCTAGGTACTTCTCAACTCCCCGTCTCCCATTCTCTTCTAAACTTCTTGCTGTTGCCACCCACTCCTTCCTCCCTCCACTCCAATCACCAAGTCCTCCCAAGTATCTCTGAACCTTACCCCTTCTCTCTCTACTTTGCCTACTGCCACTCTCTCGCCTGGCCCTACACAACAGCCTCCCAGGTGTCTGCCCTGTTTGCAGCCCTTACCATCTTCCGCCTCACTTCCAGAATGGCCCCTTTGAAAGGCAAAACTGGACTTGTCGAGACCTAGCTTAAAATCCTTCCAAAGTTTTTCTGTGGTCTGGACTCTCTGCAGATTGTTCAAATCCCCATACCCAGAACTGCTGTCCTTCTCTGCGGCCTCGCACTTTCCGCTCCAGCAGTATCAAATTGCCAGTTCTTCCTCTTGTTTTCCCCTTGGCGTGGAGTGCCCTGTCCTCCATCTCCTCTGCCCACTGCTCTCTTCACATGGCTGACTCTTACTTTAAGACCAAATGAGTCTCCTTTCTCCATTCCTCCTCCACAAACGTCTTATATGTGCTCCTATACTACTCTGAGCCTATCCTCACTGTTATAGGTTGAATTCTGTCCCCAAAATTGATAGTTGAAGTCCTAACCCCCAGTACCTCAGAATATGATCTTATTTGGAAACAGGGTTATTAGAGATGCAATTAGTTAAGATGAGGTTAAAGTGGAATAAAGTGAGGCCCTACTCCAATATAACTTGTGTCCGTATAAAAAGGGTCAATTTGGACACAGACATACACAGAAGGAGAAGGCCATGTGAAGATGAAGACAAAGATGGGGATGATGTTTCTACAAGCCAAGGGATGCTAAAGATTGCTAGCAAACCACCAGAAGCTAGCAAAGAGGCCTGGAACACACCTCTTCTTGCAGCCCTCAGGAGGAACCAACCCTGCCAACACCGGGATCTCACACTTCTAGCCCCAGAACTGTGAGACAACAGATTTATGTTGTTCAGACCATCCAGTTGGCAGTACTTTGTTATGGCAAGTTGTAGCAACTCTAGGAAACTAATACATCCATCACTGCATTATTATATTGTATGGTCATTACCTGTGCATGTCCCCACTCCCCACTGTGAACTACCTAAGGGCAAGAAATGTGTCTTATTCATCCTTGCATCCCCAGTGCCAAAAACAGTGTCTACAACATAAAGGACTCAAGTATTTGATGAATGAATTAATAAAAGCACAACATGCCCCCAAAGTCAGACGAGCCACAGACGATGAAGCTTAACTGATTTACTGCCCCTCAACTCCCTAAGTTTCATTTTTTTCCTATGGATTATTGCTGAATCTGTCCATGTTTTCCTGTTCCTCATGGGTGGGTGTGCTATTGATTTTCTGGTTGTCCTCCCAGATGAATGTTCTACCCTTTTCTGCCCATTTCATGCCTATGGCTACAGGTCCTGATGTGCAGCCTTCTCTCAAGGTTCCAGCTCTCAGTAGGTTCTGGCCACCCCGTACTGTCCCCTCGTCTCTTCAGGCCTCAGGATGGGTAGGACATCTCACTGTAGCTAGTACCAGGACTTCATTCTTTGTTGTCCCCTAAATTCTGCCCATTCCTCTGTAAATAGTTTCTTCATTCAACTCTGGCAAGCCCTGTGTTTCCTGATGGAACCCTCAGGAATATAGTTAGCAGGCAGGTGGGTGGGGACTGAGATGATAACCAAGGTGCAAATTTAATCACTTGTCTTTTTTAAAAAAAGTAATCCTTTTGATTCCCTCCCAGTTATGTTTTTCAAAGCACCATATACCTATTTTTACATATATCCTGCTATTTCTAAATATTTTACATTATTTATACATTTGGCTAAATATAGAAAATGTTTAGTTGAATTTGACATTTTATTGACTACCTGCAATTTGCCTGGCACAGTGATAGGCATTGGGAATCCAAAGAGGATACGATTGTTTCTGCTGAAGAAGACCCAGGGTTTAGTGGGGGAGACATAAACATCAATGACAGAGCATGGGCTTTGGGTCAAGTCCCACAACTGAAGAAACACTGAAAAGTGGATTACCCCCCCCCCAATATAGACACTTTAGAGCTACTTCAGTTCTTTTTCATAGAATTGTCTTCAGGTTTTTTTCATCAGAGAGATGGCTTCTGATAGCCAAATACACATGAGATGATCATTTAACATGTTTGTGGGGGATGTCAAAATTCCACATTATATTTTCTCTTTTCCTAACATTATAGGTTCCTTGAGTTGACAAGGACTTCAAATAATCACCTACCCTAACCATTCCCAATTCTGGATGATCATGAGAGTGTCTCTTTAAAAACAGAGGTTCCTGAGTCTCATAGCCATGTACTGAATCAAAATCTGAGGGGAGGAGAGGGAATAGGGGGAGAAGGAGACTTGGTATTTTGCTTTTTGAAACCCTTGTAATGATTCTGATGTTCAGTCTGGTTGCAAACCAATGTTCTGGATTAGCTCTTACTTACAGCAACTGTAATTCAGACAAAAGGTTTTCCAAATGTGGTTCCTTAGCCATCTGAGTGTGTCATACTGGCATAAGGATAGACATACAGATCAATGGGATATAATTGATAGTCCAGAACTAAACCTTTTCATTTATGCTCAATTGATTTTGTACAAGGGTGTCAAAACCATTCAATAGGTGAAACAACAACCTTTCAACAAATGGTGCTGGGACAACTGTGTATCCACATATGCAAAAAATGAAATTGGACACTTACCTCATACCATATACGAAAGTTAAATAAAAAATGGATCGATGACTGAAATGTAAGAGCTAAAGCTATAAAACTCTTAGAAAAAAACATATGCATAAATTTTTGTGACCTTGAATTAGGCAATAGTTTCTTAGCTATGACACCAAATGCAAGGGAAAAATAGAAAAATTGGACTTCATCAAAAGTAAAAACTTGTGCATCAAAAGACTATCAAGGGAATGAAAAGATAACTCACAGGTGGGAGAAAATATTTGCAAATCATGTATCTGATAAGGGATTAATATCCACAATATATAAAGAACTCCTACTCAACAACAACAAAATACCCAAATAACCCAATTTAGAAATGGGCAAGCACTTGAATAGATTTTTTTCCAAAGAAATACAAATGCTCAATAAGCACATAAAAAGATGTTCAACATCACTAGTCATTAGGGAAATGCAAGTGCATAAAGCATTATCACTCCACACCCACTGGGATAGCTATAATTAAAAAGATGGACAATCACAAGTGTTGGTGAGGGTATAGGGAAATTGAAACCCTCAGACGTTCTGGTGGGAATGTGAAATAGTTCAGCTGTCATGGAAAATAGTTTTGGCACTTCCTTATGACCTAGCAATTTGATTCTCTTGGGTATATACCCATGAGAATTAGAAACATATATCCATACAAAAATTTGTACACAAATGTTCATGTCAGCATTATCTATAATAGCCAAAAAGTGAAAACACTCCAAATGACCATCATCTGGTGAATGAATTAACAAAATAATAAATTCATTATTATATAATGAATATAATTCAGCCATAAAAAGGAATGGAATACTGATACATGCTAGAATATGGCTAAACCTTGAAAACATTTTGCTAAATGAAAGAAGCCAGTCACAAATCACATATTGTATGAGTCTATTAATATTATAGAAAATATTCAAAATAGACAAATCCATAGAGAACAAAAAGTAGTTTAATGTTTACCAGGGGCTAGGTGGAGGGCTGAATAGGGAGTGACTGATAATGAATATGGACTTTTCTTGGGGGATGATAAAACGTTTTAATTTAGATAGTGGTGATGATTGCACAACTTTGTGAATATACTAAAAACCACTACACTATACAGTTTAAAAGGGTATATTTTATGATAATATGAATTATATCTCAGTTTAAAAAAAATTTACCTGGCCACTTGGGTCCTAGGAATCTGCATTTGAAAGAGGCTCCCAAGATGATTCTGTGTGCAGCGCATGAAATTTGAAAACTGCAGTATCTCATCTGTATCACTGTATCTCCTGAAAATTTGAAGAATTTAAAATGTCTTCAAAAAAACAAAACAAACAAAAAGCAAAAATCAGACCACCTAGGGCACAGTAAGTGATCATTCATTGAACAAATATTTAGCTTCTGCCTGCTATATAGCAGGTAGCACGCTGAGCTCAATGAGCTAGTTACACACCCTGTTACGTAAGAGTTGAGAGTCGGGGAGGGATGCAGGCATGCAAACAGTGACAGTACTAAAGAGACAACAGTGACATCTGCTTTAATGGAGGTTTGCACCGAGTAGGACAAGGTCAACATAGAGCCTGAGAGTCAACATGGAGAAGCCAAAGCATGAGTCAATATTTGAGTGGAAGCTCAAGATATGGGCACCCAGAAAGGTGGAAGAGAGTGTAAAAGAGCAACAGGAGGGCCCTCCAGGCAGAAGAACCGAGTGTAGAAAGGCACAGAGGTTTGGGAGAGCTTGGTGAATTAAAGCAACTGTAGCAGGTTGAAACAAATGCCCACAGGAAAAGATGCAGAAGAGGAAGCAGAGAGTTACAGCTTATTGTGCAGGGAGGAGCCACTGGAGAGTTTAGAAGAGCAGGATCCAGTCCTAGTTTGGGAAGATCAGTCTGATGGCAGGTGGGAGATTGGGGCAGAGGGAACAGGGGGCTGGGAGGCTGGTGGGAAAAAAGGCTTTGTCTGAAATGCTGAAGGTCCAAACTAGGGCAGCAGAAGGGAGAGTGGAGAGATTGACTTTATACTTAAGAAGAAACAAGGACATATACAAACACACACACACACACACACACACACACACACACACAGAGTCCCTGGGGATTGATGGAATACACTGGAGGAGATTTAACAGCATCCGAGACCTCTACCTACTAGGTGCTGGTAGCATCTCCCCAGCTATGAAAAACAAATATATCTCCAGAAATTGCCTGGAATGCAAACTCTGGGGGACAAAAGCTGCTCCAGTTGAGAATCACTGGTCTAAGTTAACTGAACCCCGTAATGGGATAGGGTCACATATCCCTCAAGGAGAGCCATTCATACAAGGTGCTTTTGAGTGCCTAGGATAGGACGCTGGGGCTCCACTGAGCTTACAGATCTGGTGGTGTGGCCATTTTTGTGCTCGTCTGCTAATAAAAGTGTGAGATGTGCTCTGATTGTGAGGTTGTTGGGGAGGAGACCCATAGCCCTACCTTCCTCTAACAACTGGGAGATACCATTAACCACCAAATAGATGGTAGTTGTGAACAACCATCCTGACTTAGGTCAGTTTGCAGCCAAGTTGTCCAAGGTGATTTGCTGTTTACTGGCTAGAAGTGATGCTATTCCTTGAAACAGAGGATCCCCAGGAGATTTCTCATGGCGCAGGGCAAGAGGGAGCTGTAGCAGAGCTAGACCAGGAGCTTCTAGAATGCACAGAATGGGTTTCTTCTGGGTTTCTCAAGTGATTGGTGTATAGGAATTCTCACCCTAAACTCATGGGCCTGTGATTATCACAGCACGGCCCAAGCATAGTTCTACCTGGCTTTGAGGCCAAGCAGATCTCCTCAATAAAGAACTCCACCTTGAAGGCTGTGGCACCCAGGCAAGAGTCAGGGAATGCCTGAGAGGGGAAAGGACCTTAGTGAGATCTCACCTGTCATCATTCACAACAGTTCTGTGCCTCACGTCGGTAAGCACTGGGTCTGGAATCCATCCACACCTCTCTTCCCTCTACCACCATCTTCCACCTGGACTGCTGCAATAGCCCGCTAACCAGTGTTCTAGTTTCCTTCTTCCTTCCCTATTCACCAGTCCCCATACAGCCTCTAGAATGATTATTCATAAGTCTATCTATCGTGTCATCTCCTGATGAAATCCCTTCAGTGGCCTCCCATTTCATTTAGACTAATTCCACAGTCTTTACTCATTTTACAAAGTCCGCAAATTCTGCCTCCCAACCCATCCAACCCTTGCCTTTCTATTAAACTCCAGCCATACTGGCCTTTTGGTTTCTGAAATGTGTTGAGATCTCTCCCATCTGGAGCCTGGGACTTTGGTGGTCCCTTTTCCTGGAGTGCCTTTCTCCATTGCTGCCTCCCTTTTCACCCATCAGGCTCAGCTCAGGTGGCATGCTCTCAGACAGGCCTCACTTGCTTTCCCTATCTGGAGAAAATCCTGGTGTCCCCACCCTCACTGCCACATCACCTTCTGACTCCTTTGTTGCCACTTTCACTGTAGTAAGTTATCTTATTTGTTTGTTGATTGACTGCTTGTTCCTCCCTCTAAAATGCAAGATCCTTGAGAGCAAGGGGTTGCCCAGACCTTGGTTAGCATTTAATCTCAGGTGCTTGTCCCAGGTGCTTAGTTGATATTTGGTGAAGAGATGAGTGAACTTAGGGTTTGTGTCAGAGTAAATTCATGTGACTTGTTACATACATAGTGATGGCCAACACAAGCTCTCTCTGTGTCTTTGCCTTCACTAGAAATTAAGAACTTTGTCTTTACTGACTACTGTGAAGTCCTCCTTGCTGGTGGAGTCTCCCACCCATTCCCCTGCCCCACCAAAGAGTGGAAATGTCCTTGTTTAAAGCAGACCCTGGGACTTTCAGCTAGACTTCTTCGAAGTGTTTGTTTGCTCCTGTTACTGTCGTTTGCCTCTTCTTTCCCTCCCTCCCTCACTCCCTCTCTCTCATCCTCTCTCTCTGGCTTGTTTCTGAAAAGTTACGTGTTAATTGAATAGCTTAACATTGAATCCTTCTTCCTATAATCTTACAGAGTGGCTTCCAAAGCCTGGTGATTCAGTTCTAAAGGCTCTGACTGGCTGCCCGTTCACTTTTGGCCTCTTTGTAAAATGATTAATGATCTGTAAACAAACACTTACATAGAATGGTTAAAGAACCCGCTAGTTAGAGGCCCCTTGTGGTGAATCCTTTTTGTAAATGGAAGAAGTGTCCGGTTTATCTCCTCTATAAATATGGATTTTCCTATTTTGGAAGCTGTGTTGGTTATACCTGCCCCATTTATATGAATCCAAAACACGCTGCTACCACCCCTCTCTCCTTTTTCACCCAATCATTCCATCTAGTCATTCACGCACCTTTATTGAGCACCTACAATGTGCCACAGAGATAAACAAGACGGCCCCTGTTGTCAGCGATACCCCGTTTGGCAGGGCAAATGGACAAAATAATGACCACCATATGGTGTGATTTAAGGAGAGCTCCTAGCTAAGCCCCCGATGAGGGTGGATGCTCATGAATATCCCTGAGCTGTTAGGGGAAGATGGGTGGAAGGGCACCAAGCAGATGGAAGGCGAGTTGCCAGGAAGAGCAAAAGGCCATTATGTTCAAAGGCACATTGTGAGAGAGTGGCTTTTCAGAATGACTGCAGCCAGTGCGCACGCGGAGGGCTAAAGGGCCACGGCTGGAGGATAAGCAGCACCACACACCACACAGAGGACTTGGGGACCCATGCTTCAGGGGACGGATTGACAGCTGTTACAGGGGACACACAGGAGGCCATGGACAAACCTGCACTGTTAAGATACTTAGGCAGCTCTTGTGGGAGTGGATGGGAAGTGGGGTAGGCTCAGTGGCAGGGAAACCTCTTGAAGGACAATGTTTTTGACCATTTGGGCTGCTATAACAGAATACCATAAATGGGGTGATTTGTAAATAACAAACATTGATTTCTCACAGTTCCGGAGGCTAGGCTATTCAGATCAAGGTGCCATCAGATTTGGGGTCTGATGAAGGCCCACGTGCTCTCTGATGGCTGTCTTCTCGGCGTAACCTACTTACAAGTATCTAATCATTTTGGAGCCCACACCCAGCCCTCCCGCCCAAAGGGTAAAGATGTCCTTGTTTACAGGCAGATCCTGGATCTTTTAGCTAGACTTCTCAAAATTGCTTCTCCAGTTACTGTGGTTCTCCTCTTCTTTTTCTCCCTTTCTCACTCCCTCCCTCTCTCTCCTTTTTTCTCTCTGGCTTATTCCTGAAAAGTTATGTGTGTCCCATGGAGGAAAGAACAAACTAGCTTTCTGAAGTCGCTTTTATAAGGGCACTAATCCCATTCATGAGGGCTCTGCCCTCATGAGCTAGTCACCTCCAGAGGCCCATCTCCTAATAACCATCACATTGGAGGGTTAGGATGTCAACATATGCATTTTGGAGAGACACAAACATTCAGATCATAGCAGACATCAAAGTTATCCAGGTAACAAATATGGAGGCTTTCAGCCAGAGATTTTTAGCCTTAGACACAGTGCACTGTACCGAGGGAAGGGGTGCCCACTGAGCTCTGGAGAATTTAGAAACCCTTTTGTTAAAAATGCGGTGTTTGCATGCACCTTTTCCTGAGAAAAGGACCCAGAGCTTTTATAAAATTTGCAAAGGGATCCATGACACTGAACCAAGGCCATGGCAGTGAGGATGGAGAAATTAAACGCAATAGGAGAGAGATTCAGAAAAATTCAGTGAGCGGTGTGACAGATGGGATGAGGTCAAAGGTCAGACTTCTGGCTTGTGCCATGATTGCAGAAATTGCATATCTTTTACCTAGAATCCTGGTGGAAGCACAATCTGGGGGCAGGGGGTAGGAAAGGGGAAGAAAATAAAGCATTCATTCACTTATCAATTATTTATTAAGTTCTTACTCTGTCTCAAGTACGGCTAGGTGCTGAGGATTCAGCTAAATAAAGAAACATATTCTAGTGAGTAAACAGACAACAAACACATTCACGTCAGGTGGTGATAACTGCTTTGAGGAAAAGTAAAGCAGGGTAAGAGGCAAGAGAGTGATAGGGGTGCTATTTTTGATGGCCTGGTCAGAGAAGCTTCTGCGGGCAGCTGATATTGCAGCAGAAACCTGAGCAAGGTGAGAGAGGTCTGGAGTTATCTGATCTCGGGCAATAGAATTTCAGGTGGAGGGAATAATCAGAAAAAACACCCTGTGATATGCACCTCTTTGGCTTATTGGAGGAACAGCAAGGAAGCCAGCTTGGCTTGACCAGAGTGAGTCATGAGGAAAGTCT